CCTGCTGACAAAGTGCTGTCCACACCAGCACTTTTCATTGTTAAATCTTTTGTCATTCAGGGTGGTGGGGCTTTTTCCTACACATCCCTGAGTAAGAAAAGTTTTAACTATAAAAGTGCAGTGCATACAACATTTCTTAGGCTAATGGGAATTATAAAAAAAAATTAGTACACAAAATGAAACTGGTTAAATCTCAATCTTTTTCAGATTTCATGTTGACTCTTTTTCAGAAGTCCCTTTGTCAGCATTCTTTAATGGATCATAGGTCTCACTTTACTGTCCTGAAGGCATATTTTGTAACTGTCTCATCCCAGAGGTCATAAAGATGTCTATTGGAAAAAGAATGCAAAGATAATGTAGCCTTGCATGCCACAGAGATAACTGAAGAAAGCTTCTAACTTAAAATAATTATTAGCCAGCATTAATATTAGTAACTTATAAGCACACTCCTAGGCCAAATTTTTCTGATTTCCAAATCCTACAATAGTATAAAAAGTATTTAAGTATAAATAAAATTAAAATTATAGCAAAATGAGAGAAAGTAAAATGGAACTCCAGTACATTCTCTTTCCATTCCTTTCCCTTTGATTATTTCCTATAGCAGACTCCAGCACAGATAAAAGATGAATTGACAAAACAAGATCACCATCTATCCATAGGTGTAATAAGCAAGAAGGAGCTGAAGGATACTCCTAGGAAAAAGGCAGAAGTGTTGAAAAGTAAAAATAATTTTGTAGTCTAAAGAGTATTAGTCTCCTCTTGCCAATACATTCATTGGAATGGCTATCGATAAATGCCCAAAATGAGAGTTTCTATAGTATGCCTAGTAAAAAATGGGTAAAAGTTTAAAATCGTCACATGATGGGGAAATTACATGTTTCACATGGCTTCTGGAAAGATTCTTGTACAGAAGGTGAAAGCACTAACTAAAAATACAGTCCCTAGATTCCAAAAGCTGCTAGTCTGTTTGAAGTTGGAATCTGCAGGCTTCTCTGTCAAAACTCATCTTAAATCAATATTTTACCAAAAGATGCCTTGCAAGACTGAACCAGATGAAAGCTGGTAAATTAAACAATCAAACAACAAAATCTGAGCCTGTTTAGAGAATTAGTAGTTAAGAGAAAAGCAATTTAAATTAATAAACAAAATACATTCCTCTAATAAAATAACTAGTAGAAATTGTTGACAATTCTTGGTTACAGAAAATACAGTCTATTACAGGACCTATTGCTTCTGCATAAGCAAACTGAAATGTGAATGAAGATCAACAAGTGTGGGTTATAGCTGAGACGAACAAAAGTGATTATCAATTTTTCTTCATGCTTGCAGAGATGAATTTTAGAGCTGTACCCACAAGGTATAGATATAGAGTTAGCCCCCACAAACACTAAAAAGATATGCTGAAATGTGTTTGTAACCATATTTGTATGTATTTGCTGTTTGATAGTAAATGGGAAGGTCAAATCTGCAAAAAAGCCATATCATGCAGTTTACAGTAGTAATGCATTGTGGATAGCTTATGGCAGGGGTGGGCAAAAGGGCCTCTGCGGACCGTATCCAGCCCACCAAGCGGGTGGATCCAGCCCACGGAGGCCCTGCTGCTCCCCGACCCACAGGCCAATTAGGGCCTGAGGCAGGGGAGCACATGAAGCCTCCTCCCAGCCTGCCAGGAGCACGTGGTGCTTTGAAGTGCCGAGTGCTGCTCGTATGGCGGCGGGGAGAGTGGAGGAGGCGTCGCGCACTCTCTCGCCCCCATGCCAATCAGAGTCTGGGGGTGAGGGATCTGTGTGAAGCTTCCTTCACCCTGCCCCAGCCCTGCGAGGAGCCCGTGACACTTCAAAGTGCCACGGGCTCCTCGCAGGGCGGGAGGAGGCTTCCTGCGCTCCTCCGCCCCCGGGACCTGATTGACCTGGGGATGGGGGAGCATGCCAAGCCTCTTCCAGGGTATTGGTGCCTAGTGGGAAGGGGGAAAAAGGGGCTTCTCCACCCCCAGACCAATCATGGTCTGGGGGTGGGGTAGCCCCACCCCTACCCATTTAGGCCCTGCCCCTTCCTGTTTAGGCCCCGCCCCTTCCACGGTGGCCCAAGGCTACTTCAAACATTTTTGAAATGGCCCCCAGACAAAAATTATTGCCCACTCCTGGTATAAACCATGGATTAAAAATAAAAAAGAGACAGCAGGTAAGGTGCAGACAAGGAAACTATATTGAGGCTAATAATACACCAATGGGATGAAAGGGGGGGGTGGATAAATACAAACCCTATAGTACCCAGTGACTGATTCCCAGAGTGGGACGCTCAACCAATAATAAAATCTTCCTATGTTTCCGTAAAATGACAAATACTCCAAAATGAAAACCTATTTCCTACTTACATTCTAGGCACTGATGGTAATGCAGCAAGGAGGTCCAGGACCTGCAACTCTTTGGCTAATTTGAAGTCTTCAAGGGAGGAAATCCTGGGGAGTCCAGAGAATGGTGGTCATCTTCACCAGCGGCAAAGCCAGCTGCAAGGAAGATGGGCATTCAGGCGCAGGATTCACTGAAAGTAAGTTGAATTCTCTCTATGATGTTATCATCAATATTGTTCTAGCAGGCTTTTCCTTCCTCAGTCTCATCCCTGGAACACTGGTATCTTTTGAATGATCTCTCAGATCATCTTAGAGGCACAAACCACACACACCATCTTTCAGATGGACAACCCCGTGCAAGCGGGGCAGTAGATCTTGGCTTCTTATGAGATTTAAAAAGTGATCTTGGGTGTAAAAAGGTTGGAGAACACTGATCTAGTGTAAACCTGGCCTAAGGTAGCACAGGACTACTCGTTGTTTTACAATTTAGTACATAAACCTTGTGTCAGATATCCAGTGTAGGTTCTTTGTACAGGATATGATTTATCCAATAAAATAGAATGGAAGAGGATTTGAAAGAAAGCGACCTTAAGAAAAAGGGTTGTGGGGCTCCTACTTATGGTGCAGCAGAGAATTGATACCTGCCCTTCCTAGCCTCCTTTATTTTTCATACTCCGAAAAGGTGGTAGGTTCCCAGTCATCCCAGATTGGAGATTAGGTAGAAATTATTAAGGAAATGATGACCAACGCTGCAATTTCTAGCCAGAGACTCCAGATTTTAAATAGAAACCTAATTAAATCACATTCCTTTCTTCTTATTTTTCCTCTGGTGTGGCCAGACAATCACTTTGCCCTGGTCTAAATTAGGGAATTATTTTGAAATAACTCCCCTTATTTTGAAATAACAGGCAGAGTGTCCACACTACCAAGCCCATTATTTCAAAATAAGGGGCTGATTATTTTGAAATAATAATTCCTGCTTTCCTTGGGAAATAAGATTATTTTGAAATTATTTTGGGAGTTATTATTTCAAAATAAGTTATTTAAAAATAATTTCTTAATGTAGACATGTCCTTTAGATCTAAGCTATAAAGTTTCTAGTATGACATTCTACACAGTAGCACATGGAAATTCAGAGATAGGCTTGATATTCTAACTAATACAATTACCTTATATTTAAGAGTCTGTCTGGATGGATCTTGGTATGTCTCAGACAATATCGAAAGTATTCATTTGGGAGACCTTATTTTATCCAGTCCAACAGCACTGCACAGGATTTGGCAAAGTAGGCTGAAATTAATTTGTACTTACAGAGAACTTGCAATACAGTATGTGATGTACTGCAAGTGCTAGCTCCATTTGTTTCTGAGAAGTACTAGAATGTAGCAAGAACAGAAGTATCAGCATAGAAATAGTAGTTCTGCAACTGAATGCACAGTTCAGAAATCTACTGAAAAGCTTAAAGTATATGACAGGTGCTAGCAAACCAATGTTTTTCTAAACAGCTGCAAATCTTCTTTGATCTGTGCCATCTGTTTGAGCTACAAGGAAGCTAGGAATGTTCTGTATCCTGATTGGATATGTCTAGTGGCTTCTGTCAGGAAGCAGAAGGCTGGAGTTGAATATGCAGTTTCCTAGGCATACATGAAAGTCTTAGATTTTGGAGTTCTAATTTATTTTACTAGTTATGTTATTCACCCATACATCTAACTTCATGCCTGGGGAGGCTGTAGGACTGACTTGCCTAATTTTTACTGGGCATGATTGGGAAGGCGAATAGAAGGTTAAGTTATTATAATAAGCACTATCCTGCAGTAAGGATGGCTAGCTAAAATCAGCAGCAACAGGATATTAATAAACAAGCTTAAATACAAGATAAAACAGAGGTCAAATTATGCATGGACAACAAATGGATAGAATATGTTGTAATGTACAGGGACTGGTTCCTACGAAGGATATTACGTAGCATGTAACTGATTAATCGAATAGGCGATGCATTTTTGCATTGACTATTCGATTAGTTGATGGGGCGTGGTAGCGTTTCAAAGTGGCAGCACCGCACAGAGCCCGGTTCCCTGTGCAGTGCTGCTGTTTGAAGTACCCTCCTCTTCTTCCCCTACCCTTGCTGCCTCTGATAGAGGCAGCAACGGGGAGGGAGCATGAACAACAAAATCTGAACTAAAACTGAGTTTTTGGAAAGCTAAGGGAAAAGAGGTCTTGGAAAGGATCGTAACAGTGGCTCATTCATACCACACTGTTCAATTATACCCGGAAAACAGGTGCAAAATTTCAAGAGAAGCACAGAACAAAAACCTATCATTGTTTTCTTAGACTTTAGTTCATAATCTGAGGACATCTTCCAAAATCCTCATTTAGACAAAAAATCTTTTAGCCAATGGGTCAAAACCAGCCCACTTGATTAAGAAGCGTAGCTACATTGACAACGGGATGACTTTCTGCACTAAAGCCATAAGGGATTGGTCCAATGAGATTTTGCCTTAGAGTTGGACAGGGCTGGCAACAGTTTTTGCTGGGCCCCAAGCAATATGTAAGGGGCTCAGCTCTGGGCCCTGAGAAGGGCCGGGACTAGGGGTTAGCCTCCCCCATCCAGTCCTCAGCACCCTCAGGCTGTGCTGTGCATGGCTCCAGCAGCAATTTAAAGGGCTGGGGGCTTTGGTCACTGCTAATGCCCTTTTAAATTGCCATTTCCTCTCCCGTCCCCATCAGCAGCCCTGGAGTTGGAAGAGAACTGAAAAGTGGCTTAAGAATGACAGGAGTTTTGCCTGAATAAGAATTTGAGAAAAGGAAACTGAATAAGGACTTCAAGATTTGGAAACTGAAGAATTGTTTCACTGTGCAGAAAAATAAGTAATTAAAATGCCTGTAATTCTGTTAAGTCTAGTTTCTTTCACTAAAATAGTGTAATTTACAATATAGTGGCACACACACACAGGGTGCCAGTGTTAAATTGGGATGTATCAGGTTTTATTTTTCCTTCATTCTCTGAGTCAGTGGAAAATGTGGGCAAAAGTTATGTACTGTGCAAACCTAGCCAAAATTTGCCATTAACGAAGTAGGCCAAACATTGGGCTTTTTAGATATCACTGAAAGAGCCTATTTTAAAAGTGTATCTGTTTGAGACTATGGTCAAACCTAATCTGATACAGCTTTTTTTAAACAGCTGGTGGAATCTTATTTGAATTTACTTGATTGCATCTATTCAATTCACTGAAAAAAAAATTGGAAATGCAGCTTAGAAGACTTTAATCCAGGAAGCTTAACTCCTTGGCACCAGCTGTTTCTGTGTGGCAATGAATTTCACATATAAAAATATTGAATACAAAAAGATTAATCTTCAACTCTGTAGTATTAGTCCACTCATATTTATGGGTGGCTTTTGTCTTTAATTTTAATCTCATCACTGTGTTTTTATTGTCAGATGCTCTCAGACAACAATATTTCTAGAAAGAAGAAAACTTTCACTGGAAATAACTGCAGTTTTGCATGACCTATGAAACACAAGGTGGGTGAGTTAATATCTTTTACTTGATCAGTTTCTCTTGGTAAGAGAGACGAGCAAGTCTAAGAAGAGCTCTGTGTAAACTTGAAAGCCTGTTTCTCTCACCAATAGAAGCTGGTCGTCCCACCCCCTCAAAAAAAAATCTAGCAACCACATATCACACCTCAAACACACTCACCCAGGAACCTACCCCTGCAGTAAACTTCATTGCCAACTCTGTCCACACATCTATACAAGCGACACCATCATAGGACCACATCATAGCCACATAAGCCACCACATCAGATGCTTATACAAATGCACATCCTCTAATGTGATCTATGCCATCAAGTGCCAGCAATGCTCCTCTGTCATGTATATTGGCCACTCTGGACAGTCTCTGTGACAAAAGATTAATGGACACAGATCAGATATTTGAAATTGGCTAAATAGCAGTTCGGCAGAAAAGGACCTGGGGATTACAGCAGAGGAGAAGCTGGATATGAGTCAACCGTGTGTCCTTGTAGCCAAGAGGGCTAATGGCATATTAGGGTGCATTAGGGGGAGCATTGCCAGCAGATCCAGAGAAGTGATTATTCCCCTTTATTCGGCTCTGGTGAGTCCACATCTGCAGTATTGTGTCCAGTTCTGGGCCCCCCGCTATAGAAAGGATGTGGACACATTGGAGAGGATCCGGTGGAGGGTGACAAAATGATTAGGGGGCTGGAGCGCATGACCTGTGAAGAGAGACTGAGGGAGTTGGGTTTGTAAAGGAGAAGACTGAAAGGGGACAGGATAGTAGTTTTCAAGTACGAAAAGGTTGTTACAAGGAGGAGGGAGAAAAATTATTCTCCTTAACCTCTGAAGATACAACAAGAAGCAATGAGTTTGAATTGCAGTAAGGGAGGATTAGGTTGTACATTAGACGGTTAAACACTGGAATAAATTGCCTAAGGAGGTTGTGGAATCTCCGTCATTGTAAATTTTGAAGAGCAGGTTAGGCAAACATTTGTCAGAGATGTTCTGGATAGTACTTTGTCCTGCCACGAGTGCAGGAAACTGGACTTTATAACCTTTTGAGATTGATCTCAGAAGAATCCTAGAACTGGAAGCAGAGAAGGAAAGAGGCAAAATGGAAATATTTCCTGGGCCTTTTATAGCTATTGCCATGTGGCGGGAAACCCTTTATTCCAAACAAAAACCTTTGTGTATCTTGTGAAATAGATAACAAGATGGAGCTTAGTGTCACATTGTCATCAGTCTGTAATCAGTTAGGCATTCAAGATGAGTTCCTGACAGGTCTTCTGATCTGTCAATGATGATAAACTTTCAGCTGCATGCGTGTATGTGCTCCCCTATCTACCATGTTAACCATGTGCAATTAGTCAACATGACAGACCCCCTAAGAGAGCCCCCAGAGACCACAAATCAGATAAAGGATTAAAAGCATCTGGCCAGGTTTATTGCCAAGTGAAGTACAGTAATAGCTGTCAGCAAACAGACTTGCTGCTAAGTTACTATGCATACATGCACTGTGACAATGGACTAGCCCAGTCAATACTATGGATCCAGCATTGCCCTCTCGACGAGCCAAAGACCACTCTCTGGGGTACACTTTTATACACAGGTACAAACAAGTTACACATCACTCCCACGTATCAGTTGCCACCCTCTGTTGCCTAATTATCACACCTTACCGCACACAAGGGAAGTTCAATTACTATCCATCATGCTGTCAATTTAGACCTGGTCCTGAACCTGGGTTGGTATGTATGTTATTTGTGGGGAGGCAGTTGGTACCAAGGTGTTTCTTAACCAAGAGTTATGTTGCAACCCCTCTGGAATGTATTTTATGGTCTGTGCCTGGCATCTGTAAGCAGGGCTGAACTACTGCTTGCAATCAGCCAGCTAAAAGGAGAGAGCTGCCCTGGGGGTGGGTATGCTCACTCAAAATGGTTCAGCCCTGCAAGATAATTGTTGATATGTAAATACAGCTCATGCTGGGATGGGGAAGGAATCCGAGGTGTGGTTATGTAAATCTAATTCAGCCAGGGCTGATGGAGGATCAGTTGTTAGACTGGAATGTGGTGTATTGTAACTAATTTGGGCTGTTGTAGGGTCATAAACCATGCTACCCCTAAATGTAGGAACTGTAAAATATGACACCAGTGCTTGCAGGAGAGACACCATCATTGTAAGTGGTCTCAGATAAACAAACCTCCCCCTTCCAGAGTTGAGTGAACTGAGTTGGGGGGAAAGGGTTTGAGCCAGTCTGCTTCGTGCCTGCCAGGTGTGAGCTTGTTCAACCTGTTTCTTTTTCCCCCGGCTAAGTCTACACTGGCACAATCTGGTGCAAAAGCTGGCGCTCTTGCGCAAAACCTTGCTGCCTGTCTACCACTGGCCGCGTGTTCTTGTGCAAGTAAACTGATGTTCTAATGTATAAAATCAGGGCTTCCTGCGTGAGAACTCTGACGCTCCCGCTCAGGAAGAAGCCCTTTTGCGCAAGAGCTCTTCCAGAAGAGGCCAGTGTAGACAGGTAACATGAATTTCTTCCGCAAGAAAGCCCTATGGTTAAAATGGCCATCAGAGCTTTCTTGAGCAAGAGAGAGTCTACACTGGCATGGATGCTCTTGTGCAAAAGCACATCTCTTGCGCAAAAGCACATGCCAGTGTAGACTCTCTCTTCTGGAAGAGTTTTTGCAGAACTTCCGTTAAAACGTGCCAGTGTAGATGTAGCCCCCCTGATCTAAGGATAGACCTAAAGCAGATTCTATCAGGAGTCTGGAATCTTTTGCCAGCCTAGGTGGTGGCTAAGGAGCTGAAGTCACTGGTTTGGCCTGGAGCCAGATCCATTACAGCCAGCAAGACTGCTGGCAAGAGTGACCGGCGTGCGGCCTGCGGAGAACTTCCGTTAAAACGTGCCAGTGTAGATGTAGCCCCCCTGATCTAAGGATAGACCTAAAGCAGATTCTATCAGGAGTCTGGAATCTTTTGCCAGCCTAGGTGGTGGCTAAGGAGCTGAAGTCACTGGTTTGGCCTGGAGCCAGATCCATTACAGCCAGCAAGACTGCTGGCAAGAGTGACCGGCGTGCGGCCTGCGGAG